GAAATGATAGATGGGTAATTAGATTACTATGACACATAGTTCAGTTTCGGCTTCTGATTTATTGGGATATATCGATAAAATATTATTGAGAGAAGATTCAAATGATTGAATTTTAGTGCTATAGCAATTGATTAAAAAGTCGCCATTGTACGAACTCTGTCCTTCAAGTTTTTCTCCTATTTTCTCTCGAATTTCGAATTTAACTCTAATTGAACTTGACAAGCAGTCCCAACTTTTCCTCTTCAATATTTAATCGATTTTTATTTACGGAATATTCTTGTACTTCTGTCTTTTGTTAAGAATAACAAAGGTGAACTAAGATTTATACATCAGGTGCATGAGAAATCTACTATTACTCAATGAAGACGATATTCTTCAATTTTTCTTCTCCACTTTTGCATTTCCTCTTTAACGAAAATTCGCTGTGTTTTTAAGGACAGAAGTCAAAGTTTTTTCGAATTTTTTGTCACTTCTGGTAATTTTAATGGAATCACTTTTGTGAGAAGAATTTTACCTTTCTTTGAAGAATGGAAATTCAGATTTTAACATAGGTGTATAATGAAACTCATTTTAATTTCTTCGCACACGACCCTTTTATGGTCAGTTAAAGATAATTTTTATGCTAACTTAAAATTCTAATTAACAATTTAAAATTTGTAGATTTTGTGTTAATTGTGAATTTAAATTAATAAGACGAGATTTTTTCATCTTTGTTAATTTTGAATTTAGGTTTTTAAATTCGTGCTAATTTTAAATTGGAAAGTTTAAATTTGTTTTAGTTTTGAATTGTAGATTTTTTAAATCGTGTTAAGTTTAAATTGTAGATTTCTTAATTTGTGTCAATTTTAAATTGCAGAATTTTTAATTTGTGTTGATTTTAAATTTAAATTAATAGTTCAAGATTTTAAAATTTGTGTTAATTTAAAATTTTAGGTCTTTCAATTCGTGTTAATTTTAAATTAGAATGTTTTTATACTTGTCTTAGTTTTACATTGGAAATTTTTATATTCGTATTAATTTCAAATTGTAGAATTTTTAATTTATGTTAATTTTAAATTATAGATTCTTTTAGTTTGTGTTAATTTTAAATTGTAAATTTTTTAATTCATGTTAATTTTTAAATAGTAATTTCTTAAATATGTCTTAATTTTAAATTATAATTTTTTAAATTTGTCGTAGTTTTAAATTACAAATTTTTAAATTTGTCTGAACTTAAATTGTAAATTTTTTAATCTATTTTAAATTAATTATTTAGTTTCACATGTAGTGCAACTTATGTCAATTTAATTACTTAGTATCACATTCAATGTCCTTTGTCTTAATTTCATTATTTAATATCTCCTTCAATTCTGTTTACATTAATTTATTTACCCACACATTCAGTAATTTATGTTAATACAATTTATCTGAAATTTTCCTAATTTATGTCGATTCGATAATCAAATAAAGCTGCAAACACGATTATAATATACCGAAAAATTACAATGTCGACGTCGGGCATCGGTTGTTGAATTTTAATGGAAATTAAATGCACACATGTGTCCGTGTCTTTAAAGAGGTTAAGTAAACCATGCAGTGGAGCTCCTTTCTTTCTAAAAATATAAAATTCATTTCTCCTCTAAGTAACGGAGTTTACATTAATACGATTACAGTATTAAATATTATAAAATTACACAAGTCACTTTGTTACATTACATCTCTTACTTTTAATATATAATTTCAATTTTTGGAAACTTATTTTTTAATTAACATAAATTGCAGTTAAATAAAATTTCTTTAGAAATTTCACTCTTTGCTAATTATTAAAAATTCCTGTAAGAAATAATTGAAATTCGAAAAACATCGACAGAATCTAACCTCAATTTTATTGAAACTAACCTAACCTTAATTTCGAGATTACGAAATAATCTTTCGGTTAACGAAAGCAGTGAAATAATCATTCGTTTCAATTTCTATATAATATTAGAGTTTTCTTGTGTCGACAAGAATCCTAACCTCAATTTTATTGAATTTAACCTAACATAACCTCAATTTTATTGCGGTTACGAAATAATCTTTCGGTTAACGAAAGCAGTGAAATAATCATTCGTTTCAATTTCTATATAATATTAGAGTTTTCTTGTGTCGACAAGAATCCTAACCTCAATTTCATTAAATCTAACCTAACTTAACCTCAATTTTATTGCGTTTACGAAATAATCTTTCGGTTAACGAAAGCAGTGAAATAATCATTCGTTTCAATTTCTATATAATATTAGAGTTTTCTTGTGTCGACAAGAATCCTAACCTCAATTTTATTGAATCTAACCTAACTTAACCTTAATAAAGGAGGAATGAAATAATCGCCTGTTTCAATTTCTATACAATATTTTTTCTTATTGCGAAAAAATTCTCGCCAATTCATGAATTACCAAAAATTGTTTAACGAAGAAAAATATTGTTTTTCGATGTTTTCGTACTTTCCCGTCGGATTACCGTTGTTTCATTCACAGTTACAAATTCTTTTGCAAACGTTAAACGAGAATGAAATTCGATGGACAGAGGAACGTGCAGCGAACAAATACCGATGACATTTATTTTTTTTCCCACCGGTGAAACATGTCAACTGTCGTTGTTATTCTTGCAAACAGCAAATTCTTCGTAAACGTTGGGTTAAAAAACACGGTAAACATTTCAGATTGAAATGAAGGGTGAAAAAAATCGTTTGACAAACGTTTGAAGCGGATGTCGTTAAAGCAAACTTTAAATATTATCTCTGTCGTGAAACAAATTTCGAACATTATTCCGTCTTTTTTTACGCAGTGTATTTCGTTTTCCTCGTACGGCTGCTTCACAATGTTCATGAATGTACGTTATGAAATAACTTTCTACATTTGTGATTAAAATGAATGTCCGCGATTGTTACGAATGTAATAATTACATTCTTTTGTTCATTTTCTCGGTTACGTTCTGGCTGACTGATATTAAAACGTATTTAATGATACACAGAGTGTATGTTAAAGCCGTTTCGTTTCGTTAGAGAGATTGGACGATAGGAAATTGAAATTTTTCCTATCGAATTTATCCGAGAAACGACGTAAACGAGAACCAGACGAATCATTCAATCGTTCGAACATAAATACGCCATTGATAAGTTTCATCTTCTCGTCCATTTCCTTCTCAAACACTGCAACTGATGTTGTAAACAATTTTCCTCTGAACAAATAACTGGTTTACGTAATGGAACAAACTTTTGATGGTTGGATCTTTTTGAAAGTTAATTAACTTTCTTGTTAATTACAGTTCTTTGATATTAAATATATTTATAAATATTAAATATATTAACTCGTTATTTCATGATAAATAATAGGAATAAATATTAAATACTTTAATGTGGAATGTAATATTGTTTAATATTATAATTTAGGTATTTAAATATTGGGATATTTAGATTTGTTATTTATAGTTAGAGTTTAGTATTATTGATATGAAGGATGATATGATTTATGTAAAATTGTTGAAATTAGTGGAAAATTTTTAATTTGTGTTGCATATGGGAGGGTTTAGGAACTTGGTGATCTGGATATTTGAGGCTTTGAATTAAATCTCTGAGTTTAGGGATTTGGATGTTTAGGAAATTAGGGACTTTGAAATTTGATATTTTAGGAAATTGCGAATTTGGGAATTTAGAAATTTGAGTTTTTAGGAATTTGGGAATTTGAGATTTTAGGAATTTGGGAATTTGAAAATTTGAAGGTTCCAGAATTTAGAGATTTGGAAACTTGGGGGTTCTAGAATTTAGGGATTTGGAAATTTTTGAATTTAGAAATTTAGAGATTTGGAAATTTGATAGTTATGAAGTTTAGGGATTTGGAACCATGAGAGTTATGAAATTTAGAGAACTGGAAATTTGAGAGTTATGAAATTTAGGGATTTGGAACCATGAGAGTTATGAAATTTACAGAATTGGACATTTGAGAGTCATGAAATTTAGGGATTTGAAACCATGAGAGTTATGAAATTTAGAGAATTGGAAATTTGAAAGTTATGAAATTTAGGGATTTGGGACTATGAGAGTTATGAAATTTAGAGAATTGGAAATTTGAGAGTTATGAAATTTAGAGATTTGGAAATTTCAGTCGTATGGAATATAGGGATTTGGAAATTTGTGTCTTATGAAATTTAGAGATTTTGACCTGTTGAAGGCGAGGAGATCCGTGGACGAATAAAGTGTCGTAATTAATTATGTACAAAGCACAAAAACTATTTATTTAAGAACGATATAAAATACAATAAGAATTACGTGAGAAGAAAATTAGAGAACAAAATTGAATCGAAACATGCGAACACAAGAAGGAACAAACAATGATGATTAACATCGCTAGATGGAGACAAATGTTAATGCGAGAGTTATGGAATTTACGATATTTAGGGATTTGCAAACTTGAAAATCCGAAAATTTCTAAATGCATATTCAGAAAATTAAGAGTGCATATACTTGGAAGTTCAAAAATTCAAAATTGTATCATTTTCAGAACTATAAAATTGAATAAATTGAAATCTCGTTGACATTGAGTTTCAAGAATTTAGAAACTTGACAATTTATAAAATAAATTTGTAAATTTCGAGATACAAAAATAAATAAATTCCAATATTAGTTATAATTTAATATTCTCACCGGTCAGAAGTCGTAAGATATCGCGCGATCCAGAAGACGCAAATAAGATAAGCTCGAGACAATAACGCAATTCGGAGATAAGCAAAGTATAAAATCAGAAGCAGGCAGGTGCGCGCGAGAGATTCGGAGTTCATATTACTAACAAGCCAGTAGTGTGGTTTAGAAATAAAGTATTTTAAAACACAAACGGAGTGACTTCCTGTGTAACAATATAAATTGTCATTTATATCGGAATTTGTAAAATTATAAATTTGGGAATTTGAAGTTTCGACAGGTTTTAAAATTACAGTATTTGGGTTTCGTAAGTGTTGTCGAGAATTTAGTAATTTAGGTATTTAAAAAATGCTTAAACATTCGAAAACTTAAGAATTCCAAAAACGTGTGCTAAATATCCTAATTAACAAAACTACTGAAAACAATACACACGTGATTACACTTCCTTAAAGCATTTTTATAAATTTTCGAAAAGACTAAATTTCAAAACTACAATAATTATACTTCCCAATTCTTGCATCTTCTTATCAACCCATAATTAACAATAATTAACCCTTAAATAGTCTCAACTGAATTAACACGACAAAAACTGCTAAAACTATTATAACAAACCGCCACGTTTAAAAATGTTCAATATTTCCATCACCTCCAAAAAACTTCGTTATCTTCCCTAAATCGAACAAAAAATGTTTACACGCTACACGTCTTGTACACCTAAACCTCTTTTCAAAATCGAAATATCCGAACAATGAAGGATATACGTGTTTTTTTCGGCTCGCCAATTCAATCATACCGTGATCGCGTTAACCGTGATCGAGTGTTTCACAAAATGGCAGAAACGCGCAAAATGGCCGAAGCGCAGCTACTCCACTCAAAGTTTTCTCTCGACCATCGAACAGTCGTACAACTTTGTCACAAACAAAAAGTTGCATATTTTGTTCGCCATACTTTGCCAGTTACGCCACAAAAGCCCTGAAACGTAATTAACTTCTGCCTCATTGTTAAAAACGTAATATTAACGAGCAACTTCGAATTCTTTCGGTGAAATGATTATCGAACCACACTAAAATCGCAGGAATGTTCGTGAGAGTGTAATATGGAAGTTTGTAATACATTGAAACGTTGGAAAGCTAATTAGCATTGTGCTCAACATAATGATACAATGACGCCATTAATACCAACGGTTACACGGCTTTGACGCTCGACAATATCCCGTGAAACGGGAAGCGATAATGGAACTTGTTTTGAAAAAGAACTGTAGATAATGGTGTTTGTGGCTGTTGGAGAAAGACAGTGATAGATTTATGTTTTGATGCAGCTGTGGGTTTGGCGCTTTAGGGTGTGCATTGAAATTGTGGTTTTTTTGGAACTGCGTTTATAGGTTAGTTTTTGCGTAGGGGTGGATAGGAGATTTGAGGGTTTGAAATTTTATACTTTGTTGTTGGTAGGTTTTTCTATGAGTAAACTTTTGTGTTCTGGGAAATTGCAGATTGGTAAATTTAGATATCTGTAAATTTATAAATTTATAAACATGTGAGTTTGTAAATTTGGATATTTGGATATTTGGGAATTTGGGTATTTGTGAATTTCGGTATTTGTAAATTTGGGTATTTGTGAATTTGGATATTTATGAATTTGGGTATTTGTGAATTTGAGTATTTGTAAATTTAGATATTTGTAAATTTGTAAATTTGCCAATTTGTCAATTTGTCAACATGTGAATTTGTCAATTTGCAAATTTGTAAGCTTGTAAATTTGTCAATGTGCCAATTTGTTAACTTGTAAATTTCTCAATTTGCAAATTTGCAAATTTGTAAATTTGTCAATTTATCCACTTGTCAATTTGTCAATTTATCAATTTGTCAATTTGTCAATTTGTCAATTTGTCAATTTGTCAATTTGTTAACTTGTCGAATTGTTAATTTGTTAATTTGTAAATTTGTCAATTTACAAATTTGTAATCTCGTAAATTTGTGAGGTTTTAAGTTTATTAATTATTGATCTTTTAAAGGTGCAAAGCTAGGTTATTTTGCAAATTGATTACATCATAAATTTTTATGTTTGAGAATATAAGAATCTGAAATTTTATAATTTTTAAATTTCAGAATTTAATAGTTTCATAGTTCTGAAATTGTATATTTTTAGGTTCCTAAATCTCTAAATCTCTAAATCTCTGAAACTCTAAACTCCTAAATTCTCCACATCCCAAATCCCAAAATAGCTAAATCTGTAAAGTATTAATCTCTCAAATTTCAAAATTCCAAAATTTCAAAGTTACGAAATCCCCAAATCCCCAAATCCCTAAATCCTCAACTCACCAAATCATCAAATCCCTAAATTCCTAAATCTGCAAATTTTTGAATGCTTAAATTCCAAAATTCTAAAATTCCCTAAACCCTAAGTCCCTAAATCCCTAAATCCCCAAATTCCCAAATCCTTGAAATTCTAAATCCTTGAATTCGTGTGTTCTAAAATTCCAAAATTCTAAACTTTCAAATTTCCAAAATTCCAACATTCTAAACTTTCAAATTTCCAAAATTCCAAAATTCTAAACTTTCAAATTTCCAAAATTCTAAACTTTCAAATTTCCAAAATTCCAAAATTCCTTAAACCCTAAATTCCTAAATCACTAAATTTCTAAATCCTTAAATTCCAAAATTCCAAAATTCCAAAATTCCTAGATTCCCAGATTCCTATATTCCTAACTCCCTAAATCCCTAAATCCCCGAATCCCCAAATCCCTAACTCCCCAAATCCCCAAATTCTCAAACCCCCAATCCCTAAACTTCCAAACATCCAAATTTCTCAATTCCCTTCAAACCCTGCAATACTACCTACCCCACAATTCACAACAACTAAACATTCCCCGAAGCGTAAAACAATGAACAACCATTTCAACCCAACCTAAAAGCAATCATCCTTTCCCAACAATCCATAACAAGTTAAAAAATGTACCCCCTAAAAGCCCCAATAAAAAAGAAAAAAAGAACTAAAAACCAGTACCCAAACATGCACTCGAAAACACAATAGTTCTCTACGGTTTCGCAAAACGTCGAAAAACGGCGGGGAATTAATAATGATCAGGCGGGTGTTCGTACGTGAATTCTGAACGGTGTAGAGAAGTTAGCGAAGGGCGAAATTTCCTGAGGAAATCTCTTAGAAATTCGCTGGAAAATGAAGCAGTTACACGGGCCGACAGACCAATCTTCTATAACGCCGTTCTCTTTTTGAGCTTGTCAGATTAGATGGGATCGTGTGATGCAGAGTGCAACGGTGACGTACTTTTCATGGTGAGAGTGAATGGGGCTATTCTCCATCTTTTCGCGTCGCTTATCAACTAGACTCTCTCTGTGTGCTTCTGATGAGTTTGTGCACCGTATCGTTTGTTCGATTAAGTGCTAACTGAAAGATATTGTTTTCGCGGTACGTGAATTTAATATGGCGTGACTACAAAGTGGAGGGACTGACGCGATGTTGATTCGCGGGAATTCGTCTTTTGTGCTACAAGATTTTTTTGCTGTTATCTCACAACGTATAATATGATATTTAACATATTTATTTTGATATTTAACATTCACTGGGCTATGAAACAACTTTTGGAAATTTTACACTTCGTATTTTGAATATTTGAATAAACTTTATTTGATACACTGTTATATCTCAAGGGGCTTCAGTTAAAATTTTAACTCTTCAAGGTTTACATTTTTGAGAGAAACATCATTTTTTTTTGACAATTTTGGACTGTTTTAACTTTTCAAGGTTTAAATTTTTGGGAGAAACATCATTTTTTTTTACATTTCTGAACTGCTTTTATGTTCAACGTTTAAATTGACTGAAACTGCAAGGAAATTTGATGAAACTTTTGAAGATTATTTGTAATTTTTTTAAAGATATAATAAGCTTTGTGAGAAACATTTTTTAGGGTTTTAAACGTCTTAGTATACCAGGTATGTTATTCTGATGAGTGTTGAGGGTTAAATATTAATGACCGTTGAGGGTTAAATATTAATTAGATTAGCAGTAGACGTACAGTCGTTCGTTTATGATTAAAAAAATGGTGGATGACAAGCGTCATGATACATTTTTAAGTTATATACTAATTATATTAACAGTAGATTCAGAGATGTTCGATTAGTTTTGGGTTAAAAATAAAATAGAACAAGGGATGAAATAATTTGTACAATTATTCTTCTTCTCGACAAAAGTTAATTTACATTTTGAAAGTTTCTTAATAATTTCTGTAATCTAAGATAAAGTGTCTGAGATATTTTTTTATATATTTCGAGAACATTATTTTCAATATGGCGATTCAAATTATGGGGATCTAGTTTAGATATTGTCCCTTTCTGAATGTGTTTAGCACAGTTACACATTTTTATAAAATAACTCACAAAATCCATATGCAGTCAGTTTCAACAAAAAGTGAAACCATATGAAACAATTTGTTAAAATTAACAAAAGACGCCTGATTGATATGATGACAGAATTAATTTGTATACTTATACAATATGGTAGTCAATAAAAGAGACATTCAACTGCATTTTCTTAATAATTTTTTAGTAAATATTCAACGTTTAAAAATTGACTTACTTAGAAATTTAGATGGACTGACAGTTATTTTATAGAAAAATATTTTGTTGGAAAATGACTATTTTTAAATTATTACATTCTTGTGTAACTAATGGTTTTATATTCGATTACATTCTTATGTATCCAATGCGTGAATTACTATTACCGTTTAAAAATGTTGTATACAAGGTGTCCGGTGTAATATCCAAAGTTCTCGTACACAGAAAAAATTTCAAGAAAATAGGAACAAAAATTGTACTATACTTCACTAACGACCCGATGACCCATATCAACATTTTATATCCATATTATTTTTCGAGAAACGACGTACATTTTCGTGGATGACATTCAAAAATATGTAGCGTTCCATTTAGAAAATGGAAGGTCACCTTTGTTTCTCGAAAAATAATGCAGACATCAAAAACTGATGCATAGCTGTCAGTGAAATATGGTGCCAATGACTTTTACTAACTCCCTCTTTCTTTTCCAAATCACAACCCAATAACCGATACACTCCGATTTTTTACACAAAATTTATACAATTATCCATGAAACTTTACACAATTATTCATTAGATTTAAGAACGTAGTCATCCTTCATTACTGTCTATTTTTACTTTAAAACTCTTTTACTCGAAACGTTTAACTGCTTAAAAGTCATAAAAGTAAAGATAGGAAAAAGGGTTGAAAGTTGTACTGTTTCATTAGACCCACTAAGTAAGAGGTTTTTGGAAGAAATATTTTAGCAAGCTCTTTCTTACTTTCACAATGCAAAGCTAGTGCGGTACTAATGTAACACTCTGATTTTGATGAAATTCTAAAATTCTAAATGCTGGTCTCTTCAAACCATATAGTTATAAATCCACCAAATTCCCACTTTCTAAAATTTGCAAATCCAGTTGTAACCTATTTACGATGGCAATTAAAAATTACAAAATAACAAAATATTAAAAAATCATATTTCATTCTACAATACAATGTTCAATTTTTACTTCCAATTACAAATATTATCGTAATAAATAAAAATTAAAAAATAAGGAAGTAAAACATTGTTTAAATATATTGTCGTACTAAAACATTTGATCAAATTATACAATGTATCAGACAATAACAATAATATTTTTTAACGCAAAATGCAATAAAAATATCTATATTCTGTTTCACCAAATGACGTAATAAAATACGGATCTTTCTGTTTGAGTATAATAATTTAACCACCCAGTGCAGTTAGGAGCAAGGTTATGTGTGTAAAGGGTTGTTCAAACTTAAGGACAAATAGTCCGCAGGCACGTGTCGGCGGACAGTCCCCAAACAGTCTATATACATACATTGTCCGTGGACAATTTGCAGACAACGAGAAATAAAATACAAATCTGAAAACACACGGTGGACGAGTATTGACTTGTCTTTTGTCTTTTGTTGAAACGGACAACAAGGGGCAGTGACGGAGGACAAAGATATCTACACTCGAGTGCAACATATGCTTTCTTGGGACGCAAACATGTACATATATATATTTTTAAATTTTCCAATATGTGAAACTAAAAATTTGAATGATACGGCATTTTGAATGTCTTTGATTTTTGTAATTGTAGGTTTTACAATTTTGTAAATTTAGGAGTTTGATGAAGTTGAAGTTTTGGAATTAAAAATTTCAGAAAGTGGAAATTTAAGAAATATCTCAAATTCTACAAATCTGAAAATCACAGCATACCTAGACTTTAAAATTCATCAAATCCCAACATTCTTAAATTCCCAAATTTCCAAATTCTCAAATTCCAAAATTCCCAAATTCCCAAATTCTCAAATTCCCAAATTCCCAAATTCCCAAATTCCCAAATTCCCAAATTCTCCAAATCCCAAAACTCTCAAATCCAAATTCTCCAAATCCCAAATTCTTCAAATCCCAAATTCTCCAAATTTCCAAATTCTTCAAATCCCAAAACTCTCAAATCCATATTTTCCAAATCCCAAATTCTCCAAATTCCAAATTCTCCAAATCCCAAATTCTCCAAATTCCAAAATCTCCAAATTCCCAAATTCCCAAATTCTCAAATTCCCAAATTCCCAAATTCCCAAATTCCCAAATTCCCAAATTCCCAAATTCCCAAATTCCCAAATTCCCAAATTCCCAAATTCCCAAATTCCCAAATTCCCAAATTCCCAAATTCCCAAATTCCCAAATTCCCAAATTCCCAAATTCCCAAATTCCCAAATTCCCAAATTCCCAAATTCCCAAATTCCCAAA